TTTTAATATTATCCAGTACTCTACTGTTTATCCCAAACGAGCTCTTAAAGTATCAGGGAGCGGAAAGAAAATGATGTGCTGTTTCTATGGTGTTTAATTGTTATTTTCAGGAAACGCTACTCTCTGGGGCTGGCCGACCTCCAGTTTGGTGGCCAAGCTACTTATATTAAAGGCCTTCCAATAGTTTTTGACAGTGGCAGTACCTACAGTTACTTCAGTTCGCAAGCTTACAGCGCCCTAGTTTCTATGGTGAGATCGAGCTGGCACAAGATTTCTCTGAAGTTCTCTGTCTGTATGCCTGGAACTAACTGTAATTGCCCTTTTTTCAGATAAATAAAGACATAAACGGGAAGTTAACTATTGTAGTTGAGGACAAAAGCCTCCCGGTCTGCTGGAAAAGTGGAAAGCCCTTCAAATCCATCCATGATGCCACTAATTACTTCAAGCCATTGGTGTTGAGCTTCAGAAATGGCAAAAAGGTCCAATTCCAACTGCAACCTCAAACTTATCTTGTTGTCACGGTGAGATACTCTCTCAATCAGTTTTGTATTTCTTGGCAATTAAATAGATAACTGTTGGGCTATGTGGAGCTTAATCATACTATTCTTACTAAATTGGCCATATTGGACATTCCATGCATTTATAAGGTCGTCCTGGTATTCCTACTATATAGAGGATTTCATTAGGGTGGTTCTTTGTCAGTGAAGACCTAAAGCTGCAAAGAAGACTTCACTCTCAGATTGAGAGTGAACGACTATAAATTTGAGTATTTGAGTATGTGGTGCTTGTTTTCTGATTTTAATTATTTCTATCTGAAGTAGGAATTAGGGCTTAGAGCATGTTTGGCTGTACTTAGTTTTCCAAGTTTTCATAGAAGTAACTTTTAAGCAAAGTTCGGTGACCTTCTGGAAACTTTTGGTGAAGTTCAGTGACTATTTGGATAATTAACTCCTTTTAAGTACGGCCAAATGTGCTCCCGTAACAACACATATAGCAAGCTTAAACTATTATCCCTCTTTTCAGGAACACGGCAATGTGTGCTTAGGTATCTTGAACGGTGATGAGGTCGGGCTAGGAAATCTCAACGTTATTGGAGGTATGAAACTCGATACAGATCTATTCCTACATCTAGATATTCTTATTTAGCTATCTAATATGTCATGACATCTTGCATTTGCAGATGTTTCTCTGCAAGATAAATTGGTGATTTATGACAATGAGAACCAGCAGATTGGATGGGCTGCAGCAAACTGCAAGAGGCTTCCCAAGTCTTGACCAATTTTATTGTTTTTGTTTGTTTTCAGCTTTCTTCGGCTGGAAGCAATCTCATC